CTTGCGTGCCATGTTCACGAATGTCATCATTACATGGATTTTGAAAACGTTGAGGTCGTCGGACATGAGGCACATTGCCATCAGCGGCTTTTTCTACTGAGAAGCTTAGATGTCTGTAAAAGACCCGAACGCTGGGAATGATCACATGGTCATCCCAGAAGTCTACTAAATAATTACATTATGAGCTCGAGATTTCTATCGCGTGATAGCTGACGAGGGCGCAGCCCAAGTCAACTATCACACATAGAAATCGAGAGCGAATAATCTAATTGTTTTAGTATAAATCTACTAGTCGTTCAAAACTTCATCTAAATCCTCTTCACAGACACCTCGAAAACACCAAGAAGCTGCCGTCGTTTTGCTAACAAGGGCTCACTGCTACGCTACTCACTATCTACTAAACAATTACATCATGAGCTCGAGATTTCTATCGCGTGATAGTTGACGAGGGCGCAGCCCGAGCCAACTATCACGCATAGAAATCGAGAGCGAATAATCTAATTGTTTTGGTATAAATCTACTAGTCGTTCAAAACGTTATCTAAATCCTCTTCCCAGACACTTCGAAAACGCCAAGAAGCGGCCGCCATTTTGTTAAAAAGGGTATACTGCTACCCTACTCACTATCTATCACAGAATAGATAGTGAGTAGCGTAGCCAATTAGAGAACTGCATTAGAACGCTAGTAGATTTATACTGACACAGAACACAGAATAGATAGTGAGTAGCGTAGCCAGTCAGAAAACGGCATTCGTAACAGAACGCTAGTAGATTTATACTAAGGGCCTCTTCATATGAGCCCGGTCAACCGAGCTGGCTCGGTTTCCGAGATCTCGCCTCGCCACTCTTTCCTTCGTAAAAATTACGATGTGTCCATATAAGAAGCCGGGCTGACCCGGTTACCGAGATCTCGGTTTTTGCGACCGAGGTAACCGGGATGAAAATTTTCCCATATGAACACTTCAGCCCGGGTTACCGGGACGAAACTTTTTAGACAAAATAGCTTCGCTTTCGCAACGTAGCGGCCAAAATGGCATAATTTTTGTCTTGTCTTGTATGTATTTCCACTTTAGGAGTATGCGAATTAGCTTTATCAGTAAAGTTACAAGAGTCCACAAAGCTGCGACAGCCGCGAACGATACAAGTGTATGTTCTACCATTTTGGTTGTGTTTCTTGGATTTGCTTGGATTTCATCCCGGTCGAAATTTCCCATATTAACAGACAACAAAATTCGTCCCGGTAACGGAGCCAGCCCGGTCACCGGGCTCATATGAAGAGGCCCTAAAAGTGCTTAGCAAGTTTTTAAATCGCGCGGAACATCACGCGATTTGTCAACCGATGAAGACTTAAGAGTTCGCCGAAACGTCTTGCTAAAACATACAAGTCAGTGAGAAAAAACGGCACTGTTATCAACTACTTCAGTTCCCTGTTCAGTTTATTTCATTGCTTAGCGCGCGCTCTCAAGCATGACGTGGCGTGCCCGTGGAGAATGAATTTGCGCGCGCAGTAAGGATGCGTAGAAACAATTAACGCGAACGTCTGGAAGGTGCGGAGCTTGTGTGGTGGCTGGGCATACATTTCTCGGGTTCGACTACCGGAGTCCGCATAAAAAAAATATCTTTCGATCTCCTTCTTTATTTAAATTTCCAAAAAAATATATGTAGTGTAACCTTCATGCAAGTAAGCGTGAAAATTGACCCACTCATTGAGAATAACAAAGGTGTTCTGGTCCAACGAGATGGCTTCTCAGAAACTTGCCATTAGAAACCAGCTTAACTACGACGCTGTTTTGCTTGATATCGAAGGGACAACAACTCCAATTTCTTTTGTCAAGGTACGCATAATGAGATATTTACACAATCATATGAATAATAGCATTCTAAAGTTAGAAGTAAGGTTATTCACGGATGCTGTCAAGAAGAACAAATGATAACACTGTTTAAAACAAGTTGAGATAGAAAAGCATGAACATTGCCGTACCCACTGCGTTTTATTTGCTACTGTACACCTCAGCGGCTATATCATTTCCTAGTCTTCCTAGAGCTACGTACTGATTTATTCAACAAAACATAAGATGGAGTGTAGAGCTCTACGAATATTTCTACGCTTAAACAGGTTGGGTATATGTTTTGTGAAGGGGGGTGGGGGAGGGGAGCTATTTAGGTATCGAGACTGAACAGACTGTTATTTAGGCTAAGCAGAATAGCTTGCATGCTGGCTTGCATGGCACCCTGGCTCCCACTCTGTGCAGATCCCTTTCATTTTGTGTTGTATTTTTTTAAAATTTTTGTTCTTTTTATTAAGCTCAAGTTTTTTGGAAATAATGGAGTCTTTGGAGGCAAATTTGTTGTGTTAGTCAAAGGGCACCATACACATAAATTATTAGGATTGATTTAAACTGGAAATGCTTGGAAAGCTAGTTATTTTTTAAAAAGCTGAGTAAACACAACTTAAAGTAGTACTTGAGAAAAAACTGTTTTGGATCAAGGTCTTGCAACAGAAAATATATAAATAAACAAAGCGACACAAACAATTTTGTAATTTTCGTAAACTTTACTTTCATATAGGTGAAACAAGGAAGACTTGCATTACAGCATATCCGAATTTGGTAACTGAATCACACAATCACGCAATTCCTAAGAAAAAATATTCACATTTCAAAGTATTTAATTTTTCTGCAAAGAACATCATTTAATGTCTTTGCAGATTTTTTGTCAAGAATTTGTCAAGAAAGGATGACAAAGACTTTACGACCTATTTGGACACTGAAATGCAATACCCTCTCCATCTTCCTTAAACTGTTCTTGCCACTGAAACGGTCTTCCACATATTGTGATTTTCCGTACTTTTGTGATTTTGTCAGCAAATTTGGATAGGTGGTAGTGCAAGTCTTCTTTGCATGATCCATATGAAAATAACTTTCCATGTGTGCATCACGTTTAAGAAATCACAAAATCATTTTGGTGCTTTGCTTGTTTTAATTTTTTGTTGTAAAACGTCTATCCAGAACAGTTTCGTCCATTGTCCTATAGATTTCTTATTTATTTTTTTTGTGTATGTGTGTTTTGGATGATTATCTTTATAATCAATGAAAATATTGAACAAGATTTACTTATTTGACAATTTTTTTACATTCAACACTTCAGAAAATTTGCATTTTTCATATTTTGCAAAAGGATATGGGCACTATTTTTTCAGAGACTTTAAGTAACCCTTGTACTGATCAGTTAACACTGAAAGTTATTGCCACTGATAGTTATTGACACTTATTATCATTTGTGTAGTAGAGATCAACTCAACGGGATATTTTCTTCAGGATGTGCTATTTCCATATGCCAAGGACAATGTACAGGGATTTTTGGAGAGAACCTGGGAGACTGTTCAGTGTAAAGAGGATGTAATGGCTTTAAAAAGACAGGTAAACTGCATTTATTATCGTTTTCTTTTCATGAAATATGATTGTGAACTTGTCAGCAACAGGCATTTTTCCATCCTGGCCATAAATTTTAGACTTTTTAGACTTTGAATTTTGGCTAAGAGGCTGTGTTTTATCAGAACGTAGTAGAAACTCTTGTTGGTTCTCTTCTCATTGTCTTCTCACTGATAGAACATGATTGCAAGCACATTGTTCTTCACAGTGGCCTCATGGTCAGAATGCTCATCTCTGGATTGAGCGGTCTGGGTTGGAGCCCTGGCCAGGGACATTGGATTCTGTTCTTGGCCATGGGCAAGACACTTCACTCTCACAGTACCTCGTTTCACCCAGGTGTATAAATGGGTACTGGTCAGCAAACTTAATGCTGGGGGTAACGCTATGATGGACTAGCATCCCATCCAGGGAGGAGTAGAAATACTCCTAGTCGCTTCATGCTACAGAATCCAGGATAAGTTCTGGCCTGATGGGCTACTTGGCTCATATGCAGACCTGACCTTATATTGTTCTTGAAAGAAAAATAATTTTTGATATTTAACTTACTTACTGTACCTCCTGGCTGTACCTACAGGTCCACCTACAGATTTCTGACTGTCATCCTTTTAGTTGTAGCTTGTACTAATTTAAATACTTGGGCAACATGCCTTCCTTCTTAGTGCAGAGTGCACTATTGGGATTGTTTTGGGGCCTGGTGTCCACTAAACCGCTCTACACTAACTTGCTAAGCCATAAACTTTTGGTGTTTTTTAATGAATTAATATCAATTAATTAATTAGCCTTTCAGCAAGGGGTGGAGTGAGAAAGATGCCTGTGCACCATATATTATGTGACTCTCCTACCTCAATTCTTTCATAACATCAAAGCTATATATTTGTTTCAGAAAACCCCTTACTCTCCTTGTGGTACAATTCTCTTTAGAGCAAAACCAGTTTGCTCTAAACTCATGTGCAGATTAGTTAGCGTTTTTGTAGACTATATATTAGATACATATTCTCTCTTGTTCTCAAATTTCCAATCATGTTTTGTGATTGACTGCCATAGAAACTGGCCCTTTTTGTATTTTTTTAATGTATATAAAGGCAAAGGAGGATAAACACATGGAAGGTGTTGTTCTAATTCCTGATGAAAAGGAGGATCTATCTAAAGATGATGGTGGATCCAGGTATTCCAGTTAATTATAACATAACTAACTGAGCTTATGCACCTACTGACACCTAGAGAACTGATGATCATGATGAACTGGGCTACATATAATGAATCAATTACTTTCTAGGTCACAAACTGAAACCCTCTTTGTGAATTAGACTGAAAAGCCCAAAATTAATGATCCCACAATCTGAGTAGTGACAATATGTGAATTTCTGCAAGCTGTACGTCTCATAACGTTTTCTTGCTTCAACATCATGGTACGTGTATATAAGTGAAATATTCAATCATTTTTAACAAATAGATTCCATGTGGCAGTGTGTCTGTTTAGAACAAAAACGTGGGATAGTCAAGGCGATAACTGAGTGTGTCATTGATGTTCTTGCAACATTTCAATGTCTTCTGTAATCAGTTACTGAGCAGATACAGAGCAACATGGAATCTATTTGTTTTATATAATAAAGAAACATATGAATGTTAAGAACACCATTACCATAATTGTTATTGTTATTATTATCATCATCTTGCTGATCTCATATCTCTGACCTCGTAATAACATTTTGGAAAGCTGAGACAAGTTGGCCAAGTAACAAAGTCTGAACATCTCCATGCTTGGAAGATGTCTAATTGCAAACTGATGAAACAGACACCAGTTATTATAGCACCAGAAGTTGGCATGGTTGTTCTCGACGGTGTACATAGCAATAATTTTGGTCATTATTAGACCTGTAAAGTCAGGGACATTCACTTAGTATGTGGACAAGTTTCTGACATACATAAGGAGCCAATTAACAGGATCTGTTGACTGAGTTGATGTAAATCACTAATTGCCAGATGTTTTTAGAGATTAAAGTCTCAAATTGCCTACAGGGACAAAAATAGGTGATAGTATGCACATCAGGGTGGAAGATGGAAATTGTGGAATGATCTGGATACTGGCACAAGTTTCTGCACTGAGATGGAAACAAGACAGAGCTCTCCAGTCTACTCAGTGGCAACATAGTTTACTGAGTTATTTCTGGTTTTAGTGGTGATGACCTTAGGAAAAGAGCTCCAGTATTTACAGGTAATTAGTGAAAAGGGTCTGTCCCTTGAACACTTGAGGAGGCTGACATGAGAACCGCTTAGTGTACTATTTGGTGCTGGAAAGTTTTTCCATATCTGGAAGTGATTTACATGGGACAAAAATAACTACACAATGCCTACTTTCCAGGTGCTCATAGGGTGCACCATTCAGGTTTGCCTGGGGAAGAGAAAAATGGAAAGGGTGGTCATTGTGCAGTATGTCTGACAATGTGATACCGGCCTTGTGTTCACCAGTGCAGACACCAAAAGAAGTTCTTCTTGCAGTCAAGAGACTTATAGTGCTGATGTATGATAAGGATAACCAAAATGAAAGTTGAAAGTGAGAATAAGGCAAGACAACTTTGTTTACAAAGAAAGGCAGGAGATAAAGACATACCACCTACAAACAATTCCCTGCAATAACACATCCTCTGTTTTGGATACCATTCTTGTCATGTGTGGGGTCAGTCCCTCCCCAACCACAACTGCCAAGTCCAGTAGATCAAATTGGTTGGATGAGACATATATCATCTGCACAGTGGGAAATAAGTAAACTGGATGACCCTGCCACCTGCTGGCGTGGATGTGTAAGGATATAGAAGATGGGCAGATGTGTAAAGAGCATCTGGCATGATCTCTGCCCTGTACACTGCACTGCTAATTTGGACGCTGGTGAGCCACCAAAGTCACATCTTGAGTGCTTATAATGTTTAAAATGCAGCTTATGATGCCTAATGTTATAATTGTTCCAAGTTTCATGCTTTATCAAAAAGTGCAAATTATTCCCCCTTATCGAATGTTTTCTCAAATCCCTCTACATTTTTTTATGGAAATTACCTGCAGAGTATTCTGTCCAAAAATGTCTTTATTTTGCATATACTTGAAACGGAAATAAAAACTAAATTTTTCTGTTGTGGTTAGTGAAATTTAATTGGCCTTTTATAACAGGGTCTGGAAGGGGTTTTCTTTGATCTGTGAGTTGACTGGAATATAACGCATGAATCAGGAAAACAGATTGAATACAGCCATGATTCACCGTGATGCATGAGCTACTGAAGTTGTCATCCATGAACTGTGATCTCTACTGATACAATTTCATGAACATCAGATAACTCTTGTGCGATCAACAATCGGAGTTGACTCTGCATCTGATGAGGAAGACCACAGTTAGCAGAGGAATAGGATCTGGAAGAAGCGAGTGAAGTGAGACTTCATGAGTTGCAAGCCACTCATGTGAACTTCCTATCAAACACCATCCACATTCAATCAAGAAGGCAATATTAAGTCTTTGATTAAGAATACATGGGAATAGTTATTTCACATTAGGGCTTAGGCTGAGATTTTTGTGAAATATTTTTACCATCTATATACTAACTCAAACTTCATGATATGTGTCAAACATCTTAGACAAGTACAAATTATGGACTGCAGCAGTTTCAAACTTAAAACATGTTCATAAGAAAAAACCGCAGAGCTTCAGTTTGTGGTACAAGACATAAAACTTGATCGCCTTTGTGCCCTTTGATATGGTCAACGAAAAGTAGAGAAGCTTCTGACAATGTATACTGTGCCATTTCAGATAACCATACTTTTCATTGCCACAGATGCATGGATGAACTGTAATCCTTGTCTGTCTCACAACAACAAAAAATTAAGATTTCAAATAACTCATGATTTCAGCAAGAACATTGTCATTGATGCTGTTGTTAAAAATGTCATCTGGCAGATGAGCTCGGATCGCAAAACAACTGCGTTGAAACAACTTCAGGGTCACATTTGGAAAGAGGCATTTGAAAGTGGAAAGATCACGGGAGAGTAAGTTACACAATTCTTCATCTTTAATAAACCCACAGCAAATACTACCTAATAATATGCCTCTGATGTTGTTAATAAATTGTAGGCCTGGCCAGCTGGTCTGCATAATTGAAGGGGGGATGTGTTTTGGGGAATGTTCAGTTAAACACTTCTGAAAATGATAATTCTGATATTTTTCATTATAAACATGGATGGGATGATAAAATTTGTAACATGTGTGGAACTCCAGCCAATATTTAGCTCTTATTAACTGAGCAGGAGGTCTGTATGGGAAAATCATGACTGAGGTCGTGAGTAGAGAATATGGCACTGGCAATGGAGCAATCTGACTGGTTGATTTTAGTTATTGGCCATCTCAACTAACTTACTCGTGTAATAAAAGTAGCATATCCTAGATGGTAACACCAATTGGTTCTATAGAAGTGATAAGCACCAGTTGAGGAAGGGTAAGTCCTGTCATCATGGTCAAAATAACTAGACAAAAAAGTTGTAAGACCGGCCAGACTTGATGTTTCAAAATGGTCGGCATCATATCCTGATAATTTGAAATTAAGGAAAAAATTCCATTGGATGAGGGATATTATACTCAAAGAAAATACCAAATAATAAATAACAAAGTTTGCTGAGTAAATATTCAATACTCAGTATAAAATTAGTGATCAATCAATATGTTCAGACCATGCTTGGGTCATTTTCCAAATCACTCCAAGTAAGTAAAAGCTACTTGATATATATGAATACTGCTTGTTAAAATACTCTGAGTAATTGAGACTCACTCAATTTGAGACTACTCTGAGTATTTAAAAGTTACTCATTAATAAATTTTAAACTTGAAAATTACGTTTGTTTGGTATGTCCTTTGAATAATCAGTTAGTCCCCCCAAATCTCTCATTTGAATTTTCTCCTTAAACTAGTGTGACAAGATATGTCTGCCGTGTTTCTCTAGATAAGAGTGATACCACCCGAATGGTTGGGTGGTCAGTTAACTCCGCCACAACACACACATATCTTGCTTTATAAACGCTGATATGATTATTCAATAATAAAAATTTTACAACAGAAACACTCATACATAACCAATTATTTTGCTCAAAACTCCTACATGCCATGCATCTCAGGCATCTCATTAAACCCCAGTTTAGATTCATAGTTCATTAATTATGTGGTTATCATTTCATGTAGGACCAAGTGTTCTAATCATCTAGAGCATACTTCCTGACAGCCCTCATTGTGTTATGCTTATTACCATTCTAACAAAACATAGTACGTGTACGTATGTATGTATTCAATCCGGCTGTATCTCTGTATCACAAAGTGCATTACTGCAGTTCTTATTCTTGTAGGGAAAAAGATTGAACCCTTAATTAGTTTGCAACACATTGCAGGGTGTTTGATGACGTTGTCCCAGCTTTCAATCAGTGGACTTCAAATCAAATCAAAATCTACATCTATTCATCTGGTAGCATAGATGCTCAAAAGCTTCTGTTTGGCAATTCAAAGTTTGGAGATTTATTGCAGGTTAGTGTCCCCTGCTCTCAGATTTTTTTCTTTCTCCTTTCTCCAACTGAAGTAATTGTTCTCGAGTAATTCCCGGTCGCCTCTTCTCTTGGCGCTGCTCCTTTTCGCCACTTCACGGCTCAACGTTTATTGAGAAATAGAGAAAACTTCTGGATTCAGGCGAGGCTTTTTACTTTAATGTTTTGCGCTCAAAGCAGCCTGAATTCGACAGGTGTAATGAGCGGGTTTTTCAAAATTCTTATACAACTTGTAACAGCCATTTAAAATAGTTACTTAAATAGAGGAATTTTTTTGGAAATAGGAGAATTAAAAATGAATTTTCACACCCTCACTAGAATCGTAGGAATTTATACAACCCTCTAAGAGCTAGAAATGCTGCACTCTGACCCCGGGGGATACTTTACAAAGTTTTGTACGGGGAGGATTGTATATCATTTTGACAGAGAAGGTACCCCTCAGTCATATACCTTTTATTGAAAAATGTACACCTTTCACATACCGACATAAGAACACTGTATCCCTTTTCGTAAACCCTCGGAATGGAGTTAACGATGTAGTGCTTAGTAAATTAAAGGATACAGTCGCGGTAACAAAAATACGGGGGTTTTCGTGGCACTTCCTTACTAATCGAGCGCCTGAAACAGGCTTGGCTGTGGTTAAACGCTTAGTTTGGAGAATTTCGAGGGCTTTTATTATTCCGTTTTCGCAAATTTCTCTTGTTTGACCGCGACCAAGAAACAGACTAACTTTAAATATTCGACTTCCTCCGTTGATAGTCCGAAAATTTTTGAAACTGAATTTACCGTTGAGATGTTGACCTTGTTTCTCTCTTATTATTTAGTATATAGGTGGACATTTTGACACCACAGTTGGAGCGAAAACTGAATCGAGCAGTTACATGAAAATTGCTGAGGCCGTTGACATGAAACCATCAAGAATTCTTTTTGTTACCGACGTTATTAGGGGTACGTCTTCCTACTATACGATTACTGTTAAATGCGATCAGGAGCAAGAGTCTTGTCAGTGGCGGCGGGTTTATTTTGCAGGGCGCAGGTTGCAGGTTGCAGGTTGAAATTTAATTATAACTGGAAAACCGCCGGCACGTAAAAGAAACGTACAGGTGCATCTGAAATATCATCTGAAATATCTGCCGAATTTGGTTTCTTCCCTGTGAATACCAAAATGTAAGCACACTGAGCTTGTGCTAGTATATTCTGTCGGTTAAAATCTTATATTATTTCATTTCTTTATTTATCTGTTTCGTTTGTGATGGCAATCTTCTGTTGTTGAGGGAAGACCCGAACCAAATCTGGAATCGATGGAAACATCTGTGGAGCGGCCATTCAGATGGCTTTGAAGAGATTTCACTGGTCTCAGCATGTCGATCGATAAGTACTTATAGCGGTCGCGGGATCGATCGTGTTTAGATGAATAGATGCTTACTTTTCGCGCGCGCGTTTACCGACAGAGGATCGCGGGAACGCATCAATTTATCAGCAGATTAGAGAGAGCCATATAATGAAATCTTATTGAACTAGCTTGTTCGGTCCGTATTGGGAAAATGTTGATCTCGTCTTTAGCAAGTTTATGGACCTCGCCTGTGGCTCGGTCCATAAACTTGCAAAAAAGGAAACTCCACCGATATTTTCCCAATACGGATCTCAGGACGACCTCACGCTAGTTCAGTAACATGTTTTGTGTAGTGTTGTTTATATAGGCGTGTTTGCTAGCCTGTCTAGCGTTTTCAGCATGTTAGCGGTCCGTAATGTTTTGCGTAGGTTGTTGTTACAGGCGTTTGTTAGCATATTGGCTATCCTGGCGTGTTCAGTCTCTTTTAGCGTGCGGCGCGTTTTCTGAAGCGTTGTTGCACGTGGGGCGTATGTCCGTCCAGCGGTTGTCCACATCATTGCAGGCGTTTGCAACTCACATGTGTTTGTGATCGTTGTAGTGTGGTGTTCTGTGCTTCGTACCGAGTGTTTTTACGTTCCCTCTCTCCCTTCCCCTTGGGAGGAATCCCTGGTCACGGGATGCTGATTATTTATCCCTTACTTCTGCTGAGCCTGGGTTCATTTTCACGGGTGCTATTTGGGGGACCTGGCGTGGAAGCTCGTGGCTGAGTTGCGGGTTGTACAGGCCAGTGGGTGTTCTGCTGCCGTGGGATATGATCGTGGTCATAGCCCCCAGTCCCCCTCGGAGCTAGTTATGTAATAAAGCCACTTTCGCAGACTTACTATAGGTTCTAACTGTTTGAATTCATTCTGTTGGCTGCAATTCATTCCTTTCAACAAAAGTAAATGCAAAGCGACATCGTCAAAGTCATTATTACATCTCTCAGTTAGTCCGCGCGCTGTGATTGGTCAATCTAGCGAGCCGTACTCTCCTGTACGGCCCGCTAAAATTCAAAGTCGGTTTTGTTGCCAAACTGTTTCGTGATTTATCGATAAGTGTTCTTTACTTTTATAGCAAGTGAAAGTTTAAAACTTTCTTATACTCTAAATTATGTAATAAAGCGTCCTAACGACTTAAAAACAGTTTCAAACTGGCTCGTTTTGCTTTCGAGGTGCGTCAGAAATTTGAAGCCTTTCCGAGTCCGCGTGAATAGAAATAGTCTCCGAACCCGTCAGGTACAGAGTAGAGATATAAGAAATATCTTACTAACCTCGTCTTCTCGTTCCGTTCTGTAAGTTACAGATCCTCGTTTTTTCCCCTTCGATTTATGACCCGCGCGCTTCCCACTTGGGCCATAAATCGAAGGGGAAAAAACTCGGTCCGTAACTTACAGTACGGACCCCGAACTCGGTTAGTAAGAGCTATTTATAGAAAGGGACGTTACAGTAGCTTGACTTTTGTTATCATTATCATCATCATTATTATTATTATTATTATTATTATTATTATTATTATTGTTATTGTTGTTGTTGTTGTTGTTGTTATTATTAGTCGTTATTAACATTCTGTTTTGGTTTGTTTTGTTTTCGCAGAAGCGAGAGCCGCATTTGAAGCAGGGTATACAATTGCTGTTAGTGTACGACCTGGAAACGCAGCTCTAACAAATGAGGATAAAAAGGACTTTATTACTATATCTTCATTTAACGAGTTGTTTAGTGAAGAGCGGCCGCACCGAACAAAGAAATCAAAGGGGGATGATTCACAAAAATGTCAAAAATAGACAGATACCACATCAGTTGGACGTAACAGAGGGTATACGAGTATAAAGTTTGGTGTTTGTCTTGAAAGTGTTGTTCGTCTTCTGTGGGATCTCGTTAATGATTCAAGGAAAATCGAACAGCATGACATTTGCTGTTTGTCGGAACACAAGCAAAGAAGAAATGGAGTTCGCCAGGTCATAGTTATTACAGGGTGTCTGATAGTATACGTCTTAAAAGGTGTCAAACACCATCCTAAGCTAAAGAATGATGTGTGATTTGGAAGTAATTACGGACGTCTGATCTTTTATTGTCAGCGATGGGTCAGTTTCTAGACTTTCATTATATGAAACAAGTCGTACTTTATTAAGTGCAAGGAGGGGTACTTCTTTCCATAAAACTCCAGCGCAATGAGGGGGAAAATACATTTTGCGACTTCTCCTACTGTCTGCTTAATGCAGGTTTCACTGTAGAGCGAAATAGTCATGAAACCTGGAAAAATAATTAGTTTTGTTCCCATTTTTAGCCTCGACTTTGCACAAAACACGGTCTTTATGTGTCATCATGTGTATGTGTTCAAGCAGCCAACAAATAGAAACATGAAAGGGAAACACCCTTAGCTCAAGGTCTGGATCCGCCACTGGAAAAGTATAAAACAAGATTGTGCTCGTTCGTGGAACTCAATATCATTCTTGACGTCTTGAATTGTTTGCCGCGGTTCGATCGATTGAAAGCACAGTAGTCAGCAAAACGGTGCCACGTTGCAGTCAAAATATCAGTGATGGAAATGATACTTGTTATGTTAAACAGTCAAAGCTGGCCAATTGGGTATTTAGTAAAGGTGCTTTCGCTATTGACATTCAAATTACAGGCTCTCCAAATGAATACTGACTTGAAAACGCGAGAGAAACGTAGAAAGTACGATCTGTAGAAGCTTTCCTCGATTTTGTTCGGATTTTCTCAAATAAGATGGAAAGCAAATAATAAACTCTTGATGTAATTTGAAGTACTGAAACAACCCAGTAATTTCCCTTGAGTGTAAGTAAGGCCTTAGGAGGCAAGGAAAAAAATTGACCTACTTCAGAATTACCCATTGTTCAAAGCCTGATTACGGTAACCCAGGATAAGCGAGAATTTTGATTTGAGTTTTGTAACTTTGCGGTGAGGTTATCTGTTTTTAGTATCACCCAACTAGTGGACTAATGTAAATCCTGCATTTTAATTGGCTACGCTACTAGAGGTCTATTAGTAATAGTCCTCGAGTAGCGAAAT